TTTCACTCCTCCTGCCCTGGGAGAGGCACGTTAAACCTGTGAGCAGTTGGGTCTGCAGCCAGCTGAGCCCACACCCTGGTCAGGCAGGCCTGGGAGCTGGTCTGCGGAGGGTGAGAGCCAGCTGGCTGCTGGCAGAGCTCGTGGGTGCTGCCGACAAGCCCCGCCTGGCGCCGGCCAGGGCTGGAAGCAAAACATGAGGCTCTTGCTGGGGTGGCTGGTGCTCCCTGGGGGTGGCAGTTGTCCTTGAGGCTGTACAGGCAGGGGGTAGCTGTTGGCTTTGTGGTCTGCAAGGTGCCTCCTGCTTAATGATCCCTGCTGCTGATAATTTGGCATGGGTTCAGTGGGAAATGGCTGCAGGGGCAGGCCTTTCCCAGGGGAAACTGTGGTCCCATCAGGCTGCTGGGACAGGTGAGATGGCTGCTTTCCTGCCTCTGCCAGACCTCGGAGGGCCTCTGGAGAACAGGAGATCACTGAGAGCCCCTCCTGCTGTGGGTGAGGGCAGGGCCCCAGTGTTATGCTCTTACTTGGAAGCTGGGGTTTAATGTGGACTTTCTTTTTTAGTCAAGCCTTCGCATCTCCCCGCCTCTGCCCTTCCTGCCGCTCAGTGGGGTGTCAAGAGACCCCCTAAAGATGGGAGTGGGGTCCCGGCTGGATCAAGATCAAGCTGCTCTGGCTGCAGTCACTTCCCCCCCAGCCAGTGCATCGAAAAGATGGCCTGGAGCATCTGCGTGGCCTTCTTGGGATCTCCTGGACTCTCCAGAAGACCCCTTCAGTATCGAAAGAGAAGCCAGGCTTCATAGGCAAGCAGCAGGTAAGTTGGATGGTGGGTCTCCGCAGGCTGCGGCGCGTGGTGATGGTCCTGTGCTTCTGGGAGGTGGCCTGTGTGCAGATAATGTGGCTGGATGTGAGTTTGCAGCAGATCAGACCTTTGTTTGTGCATAAGCCTGACCCTGGGTCTGCCAGCTGACAGAAAAACAGACTGGGCAGCTGCCTGTTCCTGCTGCATGGAATATGGGGATTTCCTGGGAGACCTATGGGAGAGTGGGGAAGTAAATGGTCCTGTACTGAGTGTTGCTTGTGCTTGTCCAAGCTGTGAATGAAGCAACCTGCACCTGGAGCGGGCAGCTGCCTCCCCGAAACTACAAAAACCCTGTCTACTCCTGCAAAGTGTTCCTGGGAGGAGTCCCGTGGGACATTACGGAAGGTGAGCCCTGCACCGAGGCCTTGGTTTTTGACACCAGGACGGTGGAGGATGGAGCTTTTTGAGGGGACCTGACTTCTCTCCTTCTGTCTGTAGCTGGACTGATCAACACCTTCCGTGTTTTTGGCTCACTGAGTGTGGAGTGGCCTGGTAAGGATGGCAAACACCCACGCTGCCCTCCCAAAGGTAATATGCCTAAAGGTAATAGCGACACGGTAGGGTTACTTTTTTCCCATGCTATGTTACAGCACGGATGCTGGGATGGTACGGCTGCATGCTGGTGACTGGATGGTACAGAGCACCCTAGGGTAAATGTCCTGCTCTCACTGGGGTCAGCACCGGGCTTGCAGAGCACTCTCACCTCCAACCCGACATCCTCACCTGTCCCTAGCAGGGCTGGGCAGAAGCGTGGGGTGGGGGGAAACCTTCTCTGATGCTTCTGGAGCCCCACGTGGGGTTGTCTCGCCCTGGGCGATAGCCACTAGTCCCCACTGCCAGCACGAGCACCCAAAGCATGTGCACCCTTGGCGTGAAGCGCACGCGGTGAATCCAAACGTGCGGTCGCAGCGAGCTGGCAGGCTGTGGGGACTGGTGAGCCAAGCAGTGCCCAGGGCATAATCCTGCCTGAGGTAGCTGGGCTGATGCGTTTTGTAAGCAGGAACGAGTTACAGGGTAAGGAGCGACTCGCTTGTAGGCTTGGTGGGGCCTTATGGCCTCGTTCAGTCACCAGAGTGATGCGAGGTTCGGAGAGCTGCCCCTGGTGGAAGTGATTTTTGCAGCCTGCACTCATCTTCCTGGGCCAAGGCATCCTAAATGTGAAGCAAAGTCTCTTTTTTTCCTGCAGACCGTGCTGTGGCTGGGCTGGTGGTGCCCACTTGTCACATCTAGATGTGGCTTTGTGTGGGGGGGACAGTGGCCCACGTGGCACTGGACATGGGCAACCTGCTTCCATGTGCCGTGTTGAGTTTTGGGCTCTTTCCCAGCCTGGTCAGGCTCTGTGTGTCACGGGTGGATCTCAGAGTCTGCTGGGGCAGGAGCTGCAAATTGCTGCCCTCCTGTAGAAGGGGTTGGGGGCAGCAAAGGAGAAGCAGATACTTTGGGTGGCATCTGGGTGGTGGTTTTGAGGGAATCTGCAAACTGGGATGATCCTCTTCTCCTCCACTACAGTTCTAACAACTGTTTCTTTCCCTTCACCCCTAAAGGATATGTCTACCTGGTGTTTGAGTCAGAGAAATCCGTGCGTGCTCTGCTCCAGGCATGCTCCCAGGACCTGCTGAGCCCCGATGGGCTCAGTGAATACTACTTCAAGATGTCCAGCCGCAGGATGCGCTGCAAAGAGGTGAGCAGACCATGAGAGCAGCCCTACAGATGGCGGCAGAGGATGCTGATGAGATCCTTGGGGACAAGGAGGGTGCCCAGTGTTGCTCTGCTCCAGGAAAACAGGGCTGAAGCAGAACAGCAGAAGGCAAATGGGCTCTTAGCCATCTTTAATTGATGTGTTCCTGCTGTGGGGCTGGATGCAGGCAAGGAGGGAAGCATCAGGTCGGTGTTTGCGTCCTTTGCGGTAGCTTGTGTTAAACTGATGTGGAGCTGTGGCAGACTCTGACTTAATGGAGCCAAGGAGCCTCGGTTAGCTGGAAAGGAGCACGGGAACAGGGAATTTTACTGCTTCACGCTTCTTTCAGCACACCTTTGCTTGTGGAGACAGACTCTGATCCCTCTGGTGCTTTATTAGATGTTGTCTGCTTGCAGAAGGAATGGCTCTCATGCTCATGGCAGGCAGATATTTTGGATCCACAGCTGTAACTCCATAGCCTTGGCTTGCTGACCTGTGCTCTGGAGGTTGGCCTTCCAGTAGAGGGGGACCTTGGCTGTAGACGAGGTACAGCTGCATGAGTTTGTGGAGTTAAAAGAATTGGGATTCAGCTCTTATCTAGACTGGCACAAACTAATCGTGCTCCAGACAGCTCTCCCGGTGCCTGGCTAGTGGCAGCACTTTCATGCTTGGTGATTTAGCTCTGGCAGAAGCTTCTCCTCTTTGGAGTCCTCTATCAGCTGTCTAGCAGATGGAAGCTCCAGTCGAAATGGGCAGTGGGTGGGTTGGTTTGTTGATCTCCAACAACAGGCTCCTGTGCAAGGAAATGTCTGACTGGGCTGTAAACATAGGTGTGGGCACTAGGTAAAAAACCCTCGTGCATGGATTGTTTCCTGGCTGCCAGCCCTGATGGACCAGCGGTTTGACTGGAAGCAGAGCAGTGTGGTGGTTGGTTTTGTTCCCTTGACAGGGCCCGTGGCCTCTCCAGATGTGCCTGGAGCACAGCTGGAGCTCCAGAGCTGTAGTGCCCTGGATGTGGACTCTTGAGTAGCAACAACAAAGTGACGCTTGCAGGGCTGGGGCTAAAGCCTGAGGATCTGGGATGGCTTCTGTCAGCTGAGGGAACTGTGGAGTGGCACAGCCTGTGGCTTTGCCAGGCCCTTGGCCAACCAACCTGCCTGTGTGTGGTTTCAGGTGCAGGTGATCCCGTGGGTGCTGGCAGACAGCAACTTTGTGCGCAGTCCGTCCCAGCGGCTCCATCCCAGCAAGACGGTGTTCGTGGGGGCTCTGCACGGGATGCTGAACGCGGAGGCCCTGGCAGCCGTCATGTATGACCTGTTCGGAGGGGTGGTCTACGCTGGCATCGACACGGACAAGCACAAGTATCCCATCGGTGAGTGTCAATCCTACCAGGGTCAGTAGTCACTCAGTGTGCTCGGAGGAGCCCCATGCTTGGTCCCTCCATGGAGAGGACTGCCCAGGGCACCTTGGGGAGGGCTGGCAGAGCCGATATGACTGGGAACTGGAAGGTCCTAGATAATTCCAGAGCAGCTTGAGGTTTTTAATATCTCTTTAGGTATTACTGAAGGGTTTCTGTCCTTGTTTGGTGATAATGGTTGGTAGGTGCTGCTTTTCTGTCCCCAGAGCAGAGGCAGCTGTGGGCCTTACCCTGGCTCCTGCTGTCTGTCAGGGCAAACTCAGGTCCGCTGGCTGCTGGCCCTTCCTGCTGGGGTAGGAACAGGGCAGGGCTTGTGGGCAGCTTGGTTGAACCACCACTTCTGGGCAGTGTCCTGTCCCTGCTGTCCTGTTTGGTTCAGGTTACTGTTGCTTTGGGCTTCTAATGCAACTGGTAGCACAGATGGAGAGGCTTCCCAGAGTCTGCTGGGGAATGGGATGTCCACCTCAGCTCAGGACATCAACTTTCCTAGGGTCAGAGGTGACTCTTGGACAACACTTCTCTCCTCTGAGGCTGAAACCACAAACTGCTGCTTGTAGCAAGGAGGCTCAGCTGCTGCCCCAAACCATGACCTCTGGGTCAGGTAGACCCACTGTGCTCTTGCAAGTGGAAAGTTGAAGCCTCTGAGATCCCACCTCCCAGACAAGGCTGTGTATTTGAGAGAGGGCAGGTCTCTCCCCGTGCCCTGCTGTGAGACAGCCTCTGAAATGGGAGCTGAGTACTTGCCACTTGTGTCACAGGAGCTGGAATGTGTCAGGTGTCCCCTGTACCTCCCTGGTGGCCTCATGGGGCAGGGGACAGCACTGAGGTTACTGGTCTGTATGGAGGAACCCTACAGCTGAGCATGAGCTCCAGCTTTCCAGCCTCAGGCTGCAGTGAGTCACGTACTTAAGAGAAGGGTCTGTGAATCTCCTGCATGTTGCCAGGCAGGAATGGTGTTGGAGTTTGGTAGTGCAGAGCTGTCTGCTGCTTGTCACTGTCCTTGGATGGCTTTCAGGCTTTTCTGGTCAAGGCCTGGCTTTAGGGCATAGCTCGTGGCTTTGAGGGGATAGTCCCAAGGGGTTGGGAATGGAAGTATGAGACTTGAAGCAAATTCTTAACCACAGATGAAGTCTTGTGCACCGAACTGCTCTGCGCTGGCACTGTGAGGTCCTAGAGCATGACCTTAACCTCCTGTGGCTTTGTGCAGAGCCCAGCTTGCTCTGGCTTCCAGCAGCAGACTGGTACTTCAACCTTTGAAGTTCTCTGAGTTACAGCAATGTGAACTCCATTTTAACAACTAAACTCATCTCTAATTTTCTTTAGTGTTGATTGAAGCATCTCCTGTGCTGAGATGCTACCCCTAGCTTGGCAGAAGGCTCCTTGAGGAAAGACCATGGTGTGTGATCTGCCTCGTACTAGATCATCTCTGGAGGCATCTAGTGGGAGAAATCAGTGTTTGCCCATAGTTATGAGGAGCTGCCTTTGAGACCAGCCAATCTGGGTCAGTGGAGCTGTTGGCTTTTGGCAGGATCCCCCTAGGAGATGGAACTGACCCTTTTAGAAGAGGAAAGATCGCCCTGAGTGCGAGTGCAGTCCTTGTAGACATAACCCCAAACCAGATCCAGGCCCTCCAGCCTGGGTGATGCCACAGGAGAGGAGTGAAATAGGTTCTGGGTTGTGCTTTGCACCGTGACTGCCACGCAGGACGGCCTTGCGACAGCCAAAGCTCCCCTGACACTGGAAAAGACGCTCGTAGGTGAGCACAGACACGTTTTCCTGGAGCTGAACAAAACTTGGCTGGAAGCGAGTGGTGCGGGAGCGCTGCTGACTAGCAAGGAAGCTGGAAAACGCAGGGCTCCGGGATGAGTGGGAGGCTGGAAGCTAAAAGCTGTGGAGCTTATTTCAGGTGCAGGCGTGGAGCCCGCTGCGGCGCTGCCTTCAGCAGTGCCCTGGCAGCCTCCTTCCACCTTCCCAGCTGCTTCCGTCCCTCCGGGGAGCGCTGCTGCCCGTAAGCTCGCATCGGAACCAGCCCGGAGGTGTCTGTGGAAGAGCCTTTTTGCTTTTAGTAGCCTGTTTTGCTTTTGTTAACTGAGGAAGGAGGCAGGCAGAGCCATGACGCCTTGGACATGGTCTCCCTGCAAAAGCTGCTTCCCTGCTGGTGGCTGGGCTGCGCGGAGGGATGGGATGGTGCTGGCAGCAGCTCCTGCTCCACCGCCAGAGGTTCCAGGTCAAGTCTAACACTCATGGTCTGGCTTGTTCCAGGGTCTGGCCGTGTCACCTTCAACAACCAGCGCAGCTACCTGAAGGCCGTGACGGCTGCGTTTGTGGAGATCAAAACTACCAAGTTTACTAAAAAGGTGAGTTTTTAGTGGGGTTGACGGGGCAGCCTGGGGAGTCGAGTCTGTGCGTGGCGGGTGGTCCTGCTGGGAGCACCATGACCTGCGTATCCTGCCCTGTATCCCTGAGTGAGTGGAGAGAGGTGGTGACCTGCTGCTCTGCCAGCTGTGAGGGGTGCTGGGGATAGATTTAGGGTACCCGAGGTGGTGGATCAGTGCCACGGGGAGCAGGCAGTCACCCCTGGCACTGCTCCATGCTGACTGACCGATTCTAACGCAGGTTCAGATTGACCCGTACCTGGAGGACTCCATGTGCCAAGTCTGCAGCGCCCAGCCTGGCCCTTTCTTCTGCAGAGACCAGGTGAGGCTTTCTCCTGCTGCCTGGGCTGCTGCACTCGGAATTCCTCGAGGAGGAGCAGGCTCTGCCACTCATAGCAGTGTTCGCTTCAGTGTCTGGGGATGGCTGTTGGCCCTGGCAGCATGGGGAGGAAGAAGTGTTCACACAGGAGCCCGGGGTGGGCCCTTGTTTTGGAAGAGGTGTGGCCCTTCTGGGGAGCAGCTCTGGTGAGTGCCTACGGGGAAGCAAAGGCAGCTTTTCCCCCTGCCTCTAGCTGGGAATGCCGTGGCTCCGCTGGTGCTGTGCCAGAGTGCCAGGACCTGCCATGGGCAGTGATGTGCAGCGGGCTGACCCTGAGGGGAGGCTGCTGCTCTGTGAGCCGTGACCAGCTGGATGTTGGAGCACTGTCACCCTGTGGTCAGTCCCTGGCCTGTCCAAAACGTAGGGGACTCAGGCTGGCCTCTGCTCCCTGCGGGCGGAGGAGCTTGGCCCAGGGTCTGGCAGAGTCTAGGTGGGAGATGAGCTCCACTCCACTGGGTGAGGTGGCAGCAGGAGTGTTGGCAGAGCCCAGCAGCT